TCTGGTTTTGGGATTTTGTGATATGGGCTAATCTCACTGGAGTTAGATGATATCTCAGAGTAGTTTTGATTTGCATTTCTCTGATGATTAAGGTTTAAGGCTTTAATTTAATGTTTTTTGAAATGGAGAGTGCCACTAGTCCTGCTTTATGCAGTAACCCCAAGGTCAGTTTTATGCTAAAGGAGGTAGAATTACTAATGAAGAGTAGCCTGTTTGAGTTCTGTAAAAGAACTAGAGTAATAGCAGCTACTTTATCTTTTCAAATAATCTGTACATTTTGAGGAATTCTAACTATTAAAAAAAAGGAAAACTGGTATAGTGGTTTCTTAATAAAAGAAATGAATGAATAAGAACTTGAGGAAAGAGAAATGAAACTGCTGATTTTTTTTCTGGTTTAATTCTTTCTCTAGTTGTATATTGTAGTTGGCGAACTTTGACTCCCAGGAACTTATTGTGGCATTATCTTGGTCATTTCAGAATCATGTAATCTATTTGGTTATAATAGCTTTGGGGCATTAATTGTAGGCAGGGGTTCCCAAGACCACCCTCAGGTTCAACCCTTTGCTTGAAGGACTCAGAACTGGCAAAGCTGTTCTAGTTTGTTACAGTGGAAAGATACAGATTAAAATCAGCGACAAGGTGCACAGGGCAGAATCCAAGGGAGACCATATGCAGACTTCCCGTTGTCCTTTCCCAGTGGAGTCTTCTGGATAGTGCTTCCTTCCAGTTTCTTCAGGCTGATAAACTCAATCTTTCTTTCATAGGGGCTGGTAAGGGCTAGGAAAGAATCCATGTGTTTCTTTAGGAAAGGGCTTCCACCTGGAAACATGAGGCATGAGTAAGAGTTTCCTGCAGCAGCCTAAAGTGAAGAAGCTTTGTTTACTGGGGAGAGGATTGGAGCCGTTGGGTTGAATTTCAGGTTAGGCAGGGTTTCCAACTTTGAATTAAATACTGATGACCTAAATCAGGCACTAGTAGTGTAGTTTTTTTGGCTGTTTTGGTTTGGTATAAGAGTGAGGTAAGATAGCATAGCACTGTGGTGAAGGGCATGTACTTTATAAGTCAGACTGCCTGGGCTAGAGCCCTCGACCTGCCACTTTTGTATGGCTGTGAACTTGTTATTTAACTATCCGGTGCTTCATTTCCTATGAAATAAAATAAACTAAATCATAGGACTGTGGAGATTAAATGAATTACTATATGAAATACATTTAAACTATTGCCTGGTACATAGAAAATACTATACAGATGGTCTCAACTTACAATGGTTCAACTTAACATTTTGGCTTTATAATACCGTGAAAGCAATGTGCATTTAGTACAAACTATACTTCAAGTATCCATACAATCATATTTTTCACTTTCAATATAGTGTTTAATGAACTACATAAGATATTCAGTACTTTACTATAAAATAGGCTTTGTGTTAGATGGTTTTGCCTAACCATAGGCTAATGTATTTTGAGCACATTTAAAGTAGCCTAGGCAAAGTTATGACGTCTGGTAGATGAGGTGTATTGAATTCGTGTTCAATGTGTATCTTTCACTTAGGTGTTTACTGAGGCATAACCTCATTAAATCAAGGAGCATGACATTTAATCTAAGATCCAAAAGACAAGGCGTAAAGCTCTGGGCAGGGATATGAAAATAGCAGAGGTCGAGAGCGGGCTTGATGGCTGCCTGTAATCCTAGCCCTCTACAATCCAGCCCAGGTGGGGGGATTGCCTGAGCTCATTCATGGGTCTGAGACCAGCCTGAGCAAGAGCGAGACCCTATGCAGGGTCACTGGATGCATACTGTGTCACCCCTGCCCAGGGCTTTATGCCTTGTCATTTGGATCTTAGGTTAAATGTCATCACATCAGTGTCTTCCTTAGTGAATTTTACTCAATAGTTAAGAAATTTATAATACCAATCTAACATAATTCTGAGAGGAAAGAACAGTTCCCACTCATTTTACAAGCTAACATATCTCTGATACCAACACTAACAAGGATATTATTGCAAGAAAAGCATTACAGACCAACATCCCTCATGAACATAAACATGGAACAAAAATCCTAAATGAAACATTGGTAAGTAAAATTCAACAATACATAGAAGGGGTAAGAGGACAGTTGTTCTGTATTATTAATTAGATCCTCTTTAATTTTTTTTTTTTTTCCTGAGACAGAGCCTCAAGTTGTTGCCCTGGGTAGAGTACCGTGGCATCACAGCTCACAGCAACCTCCAACTCCTGGGCTCAAGTGATTCTCTTGCCTCAGCCTCCCACGTAGCTGGGACTACAGGCGCCTACCACAACGCCTGGTTATTTTTTGGTTGTAGCTGTCATTGTTGTTTGGCAGGCCTGGGCTGGATTCAAACCTGCCAGCTCTGGTGTCTGTGGCTGGCACCTTAGCTGCTTGAGCTACAGGCGTTGAGCCCTCTTTAGTGGTTTTCAAAGGACATAAATTATAAGTTGAAGTTCCTTTATTACTATTCTGGGTCTTAAGAGTCCACCATCATAAAGGTTATAAATACTTCATCATGTCAAGAAATGAGATATACTTTAGATATAAAAGTAAAATTTATTTTATGGTATTTAAAGTGTATTTTGATTCCAAAGTTTTCATTTTCAGTTTTGGTATTTTTAGTAACAGGCATGTCCCTTATCTTACAGATCAAGATATTTTGGAAACTATATTAATAGACAGCTATCTCTTCCCAAGTGCCACAATAGTAAGTAGACAACTTTTAGAATTAGCCTGTCTCATGATTATTGTTTTTAGAAAGTACTAAAAAGGCTTCTGTTTTAAAGGATATCTAGTTTACTTAATACTGAGACCTCTTCAAAATATAGATTCTTTCCTACTTCTTTTTTAGTAATTTTTAAAATTTTGTTCTTTCCTTCTTTTAATACCTTTCACATTAATGAACATACCAAATATTGTGTTATTTGAAAGGTTTATTTTTCAGTAGATTTTTTTTTTCTAGTTTGAAGACCTTTCCTATCTCCAAATCCAACCAGACTATATGAAAATAGTTATAGTCCTGTTCTGATATGAAAAATAATGGAATGGAAAATATTGCTATTAGATGTTGTTTGTATACTTTTCTTTATATATGTTTCCCCTTGGTAGCCAGATCATTTGAGCAGTCTTATTATCGTGATGCTGTATGATTTCCAAGATAGAAAATTTCAAACTCGTGTTCTTTCTGATGATGAAGAGTCTATATCGGAAGTTCAGGAAGTAGAGAACCTTCTTAACAGGTAATTGTAAAAGTGAAACAATGTTTTATATGAAATCAATATTAGTATTTTTATTGGTGAAATTGTATGTAGCATAATATTTAGATAAGTGTTAAAATTTATAGAGAAAAATATAAAAGTTTGTAAATATTTTAGTTCCTTTACAGTCTTAAAGGGGTTAAATATTTTGTTTAAAATCAAGTTATTTTACAAAGACTAAATTGTGAGATATAACATATAAAAAACTAGCATATATCAAATAAGACAATTATGGTAGTACACAAGAATCCAGTATTTTGCCAAATTGATAAAAAAGTCTACTTAGTTAAGAACAAACTAACTTTTTTTTGAGACAGAGTTTCACTCTGTTGCCCCAGGTTAGAGTGCTGTGGCTTCACCCTAGCTCACAGCAACCTCAAACTCCTGGGTTTAAGCAGTGCTCTTGCCTCAGTCTCCTGAGTAGCTGAGACTGTAGGCGCCCACCATAATGCCCAGATAATTTTTTTCATTTTTAATAAAGACAGGATCTCACTCTTGTTTAGGCTTTCTTGAACTCTAGAGCTCGAGCAATCCACCTGCCTTGGCCTTCCAGAATGTTAGAATTACAGGTGTGAACCATCATGCCCAGCTAAACTAACATGTATTAAATTTGTTTTCTTTTTGTCCTAAGTATCAGTAGAAACCTACCACGAGGATAATAAATTCCTACCTCAAAGGATGGTTAGGAGAACTGATTAAACTAATACATGTGAAATGCTCAGTTTAGAACCAACACATACAAGAAGATGGATAGAAAATGTTAAATGTTATTGTTGCGATGGCTTGACTATGTCCTCCAGAATTCATGTGTTAGAAGCTTTATCCCCAGTGTGACAGCCTTGGGAGGTGGAGCCCACTGAGAAAATTCTTGCTTCTCCTTTAATATTTAGCTGGAGCTTCTCCTTCTCTTAGAAGTCCATGTGGGCTGGTTCTGGTATATTTCTTCTTCTTCTTCTTTTTTTTTTTTTTTTTTTTTTTGAGACAGGGTCTCACTTTGTTGCCCTCAGTACTGTGCTCTGGGGCCATAGCTCACAGCAGCCTTAAACTCT